TCTTTTAATATCGTGCTTTGATATCTGAAGTATTCCAATCAGATTATTTGTAGGACACAGAAAAATTTTGTATTAATTTTGTACAACTGAGAACTATTATTTTTGTATCAGTCCACAAGTTTATTTAGTACAGTTCTGTTCTGTCTTACAGTAAATGACAGTAAATCAGAGAAGTATTATTAAACAATTTTCACAACGCTTCACATATGTATTTATGTATGGAAAATAATATGCCATTTTACCAAGAAAAATTTGTACTGTTAATGATCACTATTTAGTACCCTCATTGACATGAATTTTAGAAGCTGTGAAAAGATATACATCATTCAGATTCGGCTATGGCAAGAAATTGGACAACAATAAAAGTGGACAAAATCTGAAGATATCTTGCAAAATAATTAGTAAAAACGTTAAAAGCTTTCATTACATTTGTCGTAAAGGATATTACATAGAAATTGAAGTCATGTAAATTTAATTAATATTTCTGTAAATTGAACAAATATTTGAAGAAATTTTTAATCTGAAGAGACATAATACAATTTCAATATAATTGGATAAAACTGTAAGACATCAATGAAAAAAAACGAATATAGTCTTCATTAAACTATATAAACACTAAACATATCACAATCAGTCAAATGACCATTTTTAAAATTTCGTTTAAAATTTCTTCTCATGGTATACGTACACTGAAGTTTTCAGTAGTGACTTCTTTTCTTACTTGTTTGTTTTCTGAGAGAAATACGTAGTCTGCTTTACCTGCCATAACCGGTCAATTAACTGATTGAGAGATTTATATTTTTCTGTTAGCATTTTAAGTTTTAAAAACCAAATGGGATCAAACTATTGCACAATTATAAGCATTTATTGCACTCATATAAGTCTGCGATGCATAATTTACATATATTGTAGCTAGGAACAAAAAATGGAATCCAGCATTTTTTTCACAAAATGAAGTGAATAGAAATAGCTTTACAGAAATTATACGGTTTACTTGGTTTGACAGAAATCAACGAAGCCATAGTTTACAAATCGATAAAATCGCTTTGATTTTTGAAGTTTGGTGCAAATTCATTCAGATCAGTCAAAACTGTTATAAACCAGGAATATACTTTACTGACAAACAATTCTCTTCATCGAAAGCAAAGTGTAGCTTTACTCAATAAACGGGAGAAATTTGATATCGAATTCTGATTAGCATTCGATGTAAATAACAAATGGCTTTTCATATTTGAGAAACAATCGAAGGAGAGCATTTTAAATTCAGCTTGAAGAATTGGTTGTGCTGAAATAAGTAGAAGCAGATGGGAGAAATATAACCACCAACAATATTTTGACAAGCGAATAATTAAAGACTAAACGTTTAGAAAAAAGAAGATTGTTAGAATTATTCGTGGAAATAGAAAGGAGCTATCAACATTTGCAGGAGAGAAAGGACAGTATGACACATTTCACAGAATTGTATCGATCAGATAACTATATTCTGACAATTTACAAAATTAAACCCAATAATAAAGTTATGGAGCTTAGCTCAATGCAAACATCTGTTGAAATTGAAATGCCTATATACCAGACAGAATTAGATTAGAATACACTGTAAAATTCAATTCTCAGAGATGGCCTCTAAAGGTAATTTTAAATATCCTAGACCTAGCCAATATAAATGCATGGATTTTATATAAACAAACTGCAGGAAGAGGAATATCGAGGCAAGTATTTTTATTTCAATTGTAAGAAGAAATTGCAACGAACATCAAAAAGAACCAGAAGATCCAGCAAAATACAGATATATAAATATAATCACAAATATAAATACAGATTCGTGTGTACGGCCAGATAAGGTATTGCAAAAACAATAAGACTACCAAAATCTGTCTAAAATATAAGAAATATATAGAAAATATGCAATCGAAAAGTCTGTAATTTGTAAAAAATGCGATGACAAGGAATAAAATATACATTATTTATAAATAAAAGAATTATTTATAAATAAAAAAAACTATATTTTATCATGGAATTGGCTATTGTCTGCATTTCATATCATGAAACATATGTTTTATTTTAACGACTGGTTAATTGACGGTAGGCACGGTAGGAATTGCTATACATGAAATGTCTGTACGTTTACTGTTAAACAAAATTTTGGAGTGTCTTTATTGTTAATAATGGGTTAACCTTTACTTTAAATAACTTCAATCATTCGATTTGGTGAGGCTTTTGAATAATGCTTTTATGTAATATTGATCTAAATTTCTTCCGACAAACAAAATTGTATCTAACAACTTTTGAACGTTATTGTATTGCTACCAATCTTCACATACTGTCTTACAAATATATTCCACAAAAATTTTCGAAAATCACATTATTCCCGCGATATTGCTGGCCAACCAAAAGCTCGAATATTTCTAGTGTTAAAAAAATCTTTTACATTTCTAGCTGTATAGTCATTTGTATTATCATGCTGGAAAATGAAATTTTCTCCAGTTTTTGTAGAACAATCCTGAACTTGTTCCTCTATTAATGTTTAGTAACTATTTTTTTTCTAATTTTCACAAATTTAATTTTTGTCTTTTCGTTGTAAGCGCCACCTGCCCAAACCACGGAACCTCCACCATATGAACGACGATTTAAAAATTTTAAAATTTTCTGATCTTATTATAGAAGTAGTATTTGTGGCTATCAAGACTGTTTAAATTTATTTTTTTCTCATCAGTGAAAATGATTTTTCTCCATTTTGTCTCACATTGAAAGCGTTTCTACTTGGCGTTGCGTGTGTTGCTAATAGCAGTTAAATAGCAAATTTTTTTCTTTTCAGATGTTTAAATCCTTGAATCAGACTATTTAATGCATTCACTATAATATTTGCCTATACATATATTGGCCAAATTTGATACTCCATTTAAAGTTGCTCTCCTGCTTCTTGTAGAAAAAATTGATGGTCTATCTGCTCTCTTCATTTTTTTGCACTTGTAGGATTACTGTTAAAAATTTCGAATAATACACCAACATCTTTTCATTTTGAATGAAATTTCTTTCAAATTTGCATTTCCCGCTACTCAACTGTGAATCTTCTATTATTTCTTCCTGACCGCTTTGTATTCATCTTTCTATTTTTCATCCTATACTTCCTTTTATTACTTCTTCCAAGTTATTTGTAAAATGGCAACCTACTTGATTCATTAAAACGTAACAGATTTCAAACGTAAACAATCTGTTAAGAAATATGTAAAGAATAATACTGTACAACTCTTCATGACGTACTACCAACTGTATTAAAGTACCAACTGTATTAAAGTACCAACATTAAAGTGCT